CATTATACATTTCTACAGCCAAATTCTTATACTGCTGCTACTGTAGCCAGAAACTAAGCTTTCATTGATTTTCAATGCAAGCAGGATTAGATTGTTTGAGGTGAAGCTAAAAAAATACTCTCCATAACTAACATAAAATGTTCTGAATTGACAGCTGAGTGAACATTATGACTTGGGAAATATGATGGTTTACACCTAATTTGCATATACTAAATGTAGTCTTATATGCAGTGCAAGTGTGCATATTTATATATACATAAATCATTATTCAAATTGTGTTCCAGAATCAAAGCTATAAAATGAAGTTAAATACAGTGAACTCATCTGAATCTGCCAAAAAGAAACAGTAACTTTGTGACAAGTACAAACCACTTGCAATAAAAGTATGGAGTACTGACAGTGAAAGCCAGCCACCGCAATGTAAACATTAGCATTAGCTGTTCTGCCACTTTTTCCTACACAGTTCTCTAGTAAAGGTATTGGTCTCCTGAAGCTGCAATGAATGAACGGATTCTAATTTAATCCTTGTTTCCAAATTGTATGTCTGCCGCTTATACTCTTAGAGAGGAAAAGAAGGAGTATTACATCTTTTCTCTGGGACCAAACTATAAAGCTACTTCTTACTCCATTTCGTGGACTGTTGAACTCATAGCTTTGAAATCTTCATCTTTTCAAGCCAGTTTCAGCAATGCAAAAACCTATGACATACTGACACTTAGAGATGAAGAAAATGTAAAACTAATTTGAATTAGCTTGGAAGTAAATAATAATGGTCAATCTAAAATATTTTAAGCTATCAGAAATAACTGCCCTGACTGTAAAGCTTGTCTCCATGCTCCAGTAAAGAGTATTCTCTTCTAAGTGAGAGGGTATCAGAAAGGACCTGTGTCAGTAGATGGACTGAAAGAGAATCATAATTCCAGCAACCCTGCACAGGAAATCAGTGTAACAATAATGTTTTCACGCATGTGAACTTCTGCAATTCTGGAGGAGAATTACAGCCACGTTTTTAACTGGTGAGAGCAAAAGATTGTTCCTGAGCTGGTTCTTTAGCATTTTCAAAGGAACTGAAAAGAAGCAATGATAGCAATATTAGATCAGTTCCATGCTATTAGTATAGCAAAGCTAGACAAATTAAGTTGATGTAGCAGAGTAACTTTCAATTTATTAACAGCTAAGGAGTCAGTAAAAATAAAATAAAATAAATAAAACAAACAAACTAGGGGTAGCAAAACTTATCTAACAGCAAGCAGCCACTGGACGGGATGGTCCTACTCTCTTTTGTTCCTTCCAGAGTATGTTCTCTTGCCACTTCCCTTGGATCAGGTCCAGTGATCAAGCAGCCAGAGAGTGAATCAGTTCAGCTGGCTGCTCTGGCAGAAAACTGTCCGTGGGGAAAAAACAACAACAACAACAAAAAAAAACAGGTAGCTGAATTGATTTACCATGCAGCTAACTGCAGGGTTGCTAGCTCAGACATAAGGGATGGGGAACCTGCAGGAGGAGGGGGAGGGGAACGGGACTGCCTCTTTCCACAGCAATTCAGTATTTCATTAGCCTAGCTAATATGAAAGCACTTCCTTCTTGTCTGTAGGCTCCAATTTGCTGTGCAGTAGTCTGCACCTATCCTGAAAACAAATGTAAGGGTTTACAACTGCAAAAATAAAAGATTAAAAGCCAGTGGATGGATAAAGTCTATAGCTTTTTCGTTAACTTTCAGCCTCGGTCTCAAGGGAAGCAGATAACAAGAAAATTAGACAAGGCTGAAACATGTTTCCTATCTTCGTGTGCGTCCTGCAGTTAACAAAAATACACGCTGCCGCCTCTATAAATGACTTCTCATGAAATAAACTGTGCTGAAAGAAGTGGGCTTTTTAATCTAAAAGAAAAAAAAAGGCCAACTACTGGACCTCTGAGTACTTTGCAGCAGCAGCAGGACACGAAACAAGAAAATTAGACAAGGCTGAAACATGTTTCCTATCTTCGTGTGCGTCCTGCAGTTAACAAAAATACACGCTGCCGCCTCTATAAATGACTTCTCATGAAATAAACTGTGCTGAAAGAAGTGGGCTTTTTAATCTAAAAGAAAAAAAAAGGCCAACTACTGGACCTCTGAGTACTTTGCAGCAGCAGCAGGACACGAAGTCTCTAGATCTGCTCTTTACGCCAGCGAGACGCCCCGCCTGGGCCACCCGACATTTGAACTTCCCGGCGCTGCGCCGCCTCTT